CTTCATTGCTGCCATGGAGCAATTTTTTGCCTATAGTTGATCTCCTCTGACTTCTTCAATCCCTTGCTCTGTTAGAAACCGTAGTAGTTGATGCAATGTTGAGGGAACTGCCTCTATTGCATGCAACCATGGTCTTCCCAAGATAATGTTATATGGCGAGGGTGTGTCAATCACCATAAATTCTGTCTTGATCTTCTTAGTACCAGCTTGTACTTCCACGCTTGCTGCGCCAAGTGGCCATGTCGGCGTTCCATTGAAGCCAACCATAGGGTTGCTGGATTGTTCTGGGTCGTCAGGATGAAGGCCCAGCTCCTTGTAACATCTGACGTACATGATGTCACAAGAGCTACCTTGATCTATTAGGATGCGTTTTACTTGACACTCCCCAACCAGGAGGGATACTACCAAGGCATCATTATGCGGATGCTGGACCATCTCTAGGTCGGCTTCAGTGAAAGTTATCATCCGTCCTTGGCATTCTTTAGGCCGAGGTCTTTTGTGTCCAACCTGGTTCACGTGCTGCAGGTGTTTTACTCTTTGGGTTTCTCCCCGAATATTGTTTTCGTTCACCTTTGAGTGAATGACATTAACCACCCGTGGTCCTCCTGCCTGTGGTTGTTGTGCTGGGGGAGGCGGAGCTGCAGGTGCTTGAGGCAATCTTGCCTGTTCTTCTCTTGTCCTGGCCTCATCAACAAGGTCCCTCAGATGGCCTTGCCTTACTAGGTCTTCTAAGTGTGCTTTTAAGGCTCTGCAACCCTGAGTTGGGTGTCCTTCTTCATTGTGGTAAGCACAGCGCCTACCAACGTTTCTTCCCATAAATTCCCCTGGTGCTCTTGCTGGTGTCCTGAAATAGGGCTGGTTTCGTATTTGATCCAGGACTTTATGGATAGGGATTCGGAACACCGTCGTCACTGCCTGTTTACCCTTTAATTCTGTTTCTTGTTTGGTCGGCCCGCTGGTACCTCGACGTTTCCTTTCTCCTGCTTTATCTCTTTGTTTCCCGATGTATCTTCCTCGGCTCTGGCGTACTTCTCGATTCTTGCCATGAGTTCTTCTATGCTTTTTGGCAGTGTTTTTGCCAAAGACTTCCGTAGTGGGCAGTCATCTTTCAGGCCGTTCTTGAAAGACACGACCGCCGTTTCTTGGTTACATTCGGGTATTCGATTGAATACCTCATAGTAAGTCTTCGCGTAGGCCCTAAGGCCTTCTTTCTTGGTGATTTTTAAAGCCATCAAGGCGTCGACCCTCAAGGGCTGTAGTTTGTTCGTCACAAACCTAGCCACAAACATCTTGGCCAGGCCTTCCCACGTCTTTACGCTTCCCTTCGGTAGCTTATGGAACCAATCGGATGCAATTTCCCCAAAGAATGAGGGAAATACTTTGCAGAGCAACGGCTCGTTTCCACTGTATAATGCCATTAAGTTCAGGTATAGTCCAACATGAAAGTTGGGATCTGACTTACCATCATAAATTTGGAACCTCGGCATACTGAATCTCTTTGGTGCTTCAAATTGGTCCAGTTCCACCGAGAATGGTGTTCTCGGCTTAACTGGGAAAGTTACCTCGGCTTCAACATTCTGTTGCCTCCTCTTGAGGTAATCTCTCAAGTCTTCTTTACTCCTTCCTGGAGCTCGGCTATCTTTTGATTTCAATCTCTTCGGCACACTACTTTCGGCCTCGTAGTGGGCTCGTTTTGATCTCTCTCCATGTGTTGTGTCAAAGCAAAGCGCCTGTCCTTGAACATGGCGATGTTCTTTGGGCTCTGGATCCTTCGTGCGATATGTCCTTTGGGACTCTTCGCGTCTCGGCTCCACTCGTCCGCCTTTCCTGGAAGGTCGGTGAGAGTGCCTTCCGCTCCTGGTGTGCTGAGGGACGTCGGGGATTGTTCTTCTTCCTCCTTTCTGGGCATTGGTTGCTGGCATCGGTGTGTCCTGCAGCGGGTATGGTGGCTGCATGACATTATTTTGCATCATGAAGTTGACGACCGACTGTAGGTCCGCCAACTTGTTTGCCAAGTCTTTTACTTCCTCATCCCTCCGTAGGCACCTATCCCTCCATACCTGAATCAACATTGTCAGTTGAAATCTAAGATAAATCTTCATCATCATCAAGAATATCATCATCGATCCTGCGAACGACCTCTCTTGGTGCCTGAGAAAGAATTTTGACACCAAGTAAATCTCACGAGTACAAGTTACCAGAAAACAGAGGCAACAATATAGCAAAGTCGCAGTAGTTTGACAATGATATACTCACTCCAAATAATGATTTTATGAGTGTTTCATCCTCTTCTTCCAACTTTTTTTCCTGTTGACAAAAAAAATCCCATGACTTAGTAAGAACTAATGATGATGCCAAATTGTGTGGGTAATTTTCTGACCACACTGCCCGCCTAGTAATTAGCTGGAGAGCACCGGCAGAATAGATGGCTTCAACAAACCTGTAACAGAAAGAAAAGGCTCCAGCGGTGGCTCTTCCACCTGGGGGCACTCCGACGATCAAGTCAGTATATCTCTCAAAGATAATCAAGTGCTAAACTCACAAGCTTTAGTATAAAATTGCGTACCTTAGACCCACGGGGTGCCTCTCTTTTATAGTTTACTCAATCCAAGTCCTACTAGAAGCCTGACTTCTATGGACTCCAATTCAATATTGACTTTGGTCTCTTCAAGAGATAAACTCCCTAAGAGTTTTATCCTTATCTTGGCTAAGTCTTCTCTTTACTCTAGGACTCTTGTCCCTTATCCGCTTGTCTCGGATTCCGATATCTTCGGAGATCACCTCGGCCTCGCCAAAGATAACCTCGGCATAACTACCACGACACGTAGCACCTCGGCTGACACGTCGGCGTCACCATGCCACGTGTTGGTATTCAGAAAATACATCCCCAAAATGACCATGTATTTTACTGATTTGATATTATCTATTGGCCCAACAAAAAAATTAACTGAATTTTTATTTTTATTTTTAATTTTTAAATGAGTGCCTTGATCTTATTGGCCATGATGGGTGCAATCCACACCATTGTCCTGCGAGAATCTAGTCATCAAATTCATCATTCTATAAAATAATAATAATAATAATAATAATTGATACTTGAAATTGAAACCACAGAATCCAAGTTGGGTACAATTCCAGTACTGTTGACATCGATCCTGTTATGTTTCCATTGGAGCAGGACTTTAGTTGCAATAAATCAGTTGAATAAGTCTTTACTTGACATTAGGAGAATCTAAATTTCATATTCATGTTTATCAGATTTGTGTTAGGTTGTTCCTATTTTGTTGGGTTGTTCCTAGTTTCGTGAGATAGTGGGTTTGTTCCTATTTTAGTGTGATATTGGGTGCTAAACTTTAGCAGAGTGGTTCACTTTATTCCTATTTATTGTACTGATCACAGTTTGAAATGAACCACCAGAATTTTATTCCACTCTTGTGTGATATTGGAGGATTGGGTTTCCCTCGAAGCAAACCAATTTTTGATTTCTCTGTTCCTTACCGTCTTCCAGCAACTCTGTTTTTCTTTGTTTTCCTAGCAAAAATAGGTAAACAGAAGAACAAGAACACCAGCTCTGCTGCAGCTGTACATAACAGATCCAGTGTTACTTAATTTGGAAGGAAAAGAGGCTGGTCACAAAGTCAGAATCGGATAGGACTAAATCACCCAAATGCTTTTCATCTTTTCCTGAGCCTGAGGTGTAAGTGAAAGGATTGTATTTGTAGGCCAGTGCAGTGCAGATTAAAGAAAAATGCTTCAACACTTCTCCAAGCCGGCCTTGCACACTACTACGTCCTGATAACACACACACATGCATATATATATATATATTCATTCTTGATTTTATTGGTGGTGGGAAAGAGAATCTACACATCATATCAGCACAATTTTCTCACATGTTCAATACCCGTTCCAGCTCTTGAATTTTGAAGGCTAATGAGTGTTGTTGATTTGATTTGAAACTTGTTTCCCAGTTCCCTTGATCCAATTAACATAACAGATAAGTGAAATGAACAGAAAACAGTTTTTAGCTGAAGATAGCTAGAAAAATATGTACTATGTAAAATGCCATGGGTACATATAACATATTGAGTGTGCATAATATTACCTGCCAGACCTGTTGGGGATTAAAAATGCTTAAAGTACTCTTTTTTTGGCCCAGTGAATCTAAAGTTGGGCTTGTATGCTACTAGGTACGTGTAGATGTATAATAAGATTATTCAATTCCATACTCAATTTTATTGTCAGTGGGCAAGAGAATTGCAACATCATTGCCCCATCAGCACAAAATAATTTTCCACATTGAACTACTAGTGTTCAACTCTTGAACTTTAGCCCAGTTAGATTGCACCAATTAGCATAGAAATTTAAAATAAAATAAAAAATTTAAAAAGACAGATAGTCAGACAAGAAAAAGAAGACATGGCTTTAGCCCAAGTAGAAAAACAAATTTAATCTGTTAAAATTCTATAGATACCTATCAATATTCAGTAAACACAGCTGAATAATGTTAGAACGATTTTTGAGAATGACAAAGAAGAAGAGTTGTGGGTTAAGAGCTGATAATTCAGTTTTGATGTTTGGTTGAGTTTGTAACTCTGTGACCTCCATAGAATTCCTTGCTGACGAGTTAAGGAATTTTTTTCGTTGATGATTTACAAATCCCATAAATCATCAGTCAAAATTGTCTGCAGGCATCATTTGTGTTTTTTTTTTAAATATTTCATTTCAAAGTTGAGTTTCAATTTCTTATGCTTGGTTGAGTCTCACGGGCATCAAAACATTTTGATACTCCGAAGACTCGAACAAACCTGACTACAAGCAAGAGAGCACACTAAGTTGGTTCAAGATGATCAATCTGTTGTTCATACGTCGGAGTAGAGTATTACAAGTCTGGGAGCAAAAATTAGACCGGATCAACATGGAGGCCTAGGTTGGCCAGGCTTCCATGAGCAATCCTAGTCCATAAGTTCTACTAGTGCCACATGGCAGTGGTCAAAGTATGATCAAAGAAAACTACTAAATTTTAATTATATATAACAGTGACTACAAAATACAGTATAGTTTTGTTTCCTTAATATAAACACATCTAGATATAATATAGCAGGACAAAAAAAAATCTCTGTTTGGATCACTTATGAGCCAAGTTGTGTGTCACCGAGCTTGGGAGATTGCCAGCTCAAGAGATTTCAAAGTTTTTTGATAATTCAGGAATCCCATAAACCAGAAATCAAAATTATCCACAGTAACTATTTCGATGTACTTCTGTGATGGTCTCTTCACATTTTGGCTTTCACCGGCTCTCAACATCTTTTCTACCGGGATCAAGACCTTGTAACGAATTCTTACAAAATCACCAGTTGGAGAAGACAATTTGATGGATTTATCACTGCAGAAGGCAACCTTGTCGGTGGAGATGAAGAGGAGGCCTGCTATTGGACCAGCTGTTGTTGACAAACAGCATTGGGAAGCCTTTAGCAGCTTCTCTCCTTCTCTAACACTGAAATTGTGCTTGAAAATCTTCTCCAAACCACCTACTCGAATAATTTTAGCCCCCAAGCTTAGTTTCCCCTTCACAATTTCGGAGATCTTGGGCCCCAATCTCACTGAAATTTTCACAAAATGCAATAAGACTCACATTCACATAAAAGCTTATTATGTTGGTTGACACTAATACAGCAATGGAAAAGAAAGCAATTTTATTTCGATGTTAATATATATATTTATTTCAAAACTTTCCAGTTGATTTTTCTGCCATCTTTTTGGCAGCAAAAAAAAATATAGATTTTAATATGGTACATATCAATAAACAGTAAATAATTTTCTACAAAAGAATATTCATATTCTTGAATTGAGTTATTCTCAGACTCGTTTGAAGCAAGGAAACAGTTACTTACCAAGCTCACGTATGCCATTTGCAAGGTTGTCTGCTTTTCCTCCAAGTTTATTCACCCTATCTTCTTTATCTGCACATTTGTCACAAATCAATTGCTAAACGGTGTCTCAATTTTAATCACTTAAAACTAGTAAGGTACAAAAAAAAAAAAAGAAAAAAAAAGAAAAAAAAAGCATGAAATATACTTACTATGTTTTAATTTTAGAGGTCCATTTGAAGAATAGAGAATATGGTATTGGCTAGCAGGTTCCTGTAAAAGTTTGTTTGGATATGCCATTGATGATGAGCTTACTGGAATTCCAATAACATGTGCCAGAATCTGCTCCATATTTGACGAATTGCTCCAATTTGGTTCTGTTTTGTATTCCTTGGTTTTGGCAAGGAATGTTCTGTGATAGTCAGATGTATTGGCTGAGGATATGCTTAATGTGATGGTTCTAGCAATGGATTCAGCAAATGCATATATATAGGGGTAGAAAAGGCAAGTAAGTTGGTGGATCTTAAATTTTAGTTGCATGATGAGTCATCTCTGCCTCATCCACATGAATAAAAAAGCACACAAGTCTTAGTTAAAGGCATTCTATAAAGAAAAATTGGTATTAAGAAGGTAATGATGTGTCTCGTTTCTTTCAGAAAAGACATATGCAGAAGGTCCAAGTCTTAGTCATCTTTGCCTCATCCACATGAGTTGGTTATTTTTTATTTTTTTGATATAAACAGAAAAATGATCAAGATATTTAAAGAACATAAATAATGAAATGACTGTATTAGAAGTATAAAAAAACATTTAAAATTTGAGTTGGTTTGTACAGTTACGTCGGTTCAATGGTTTCTCAGAAATTCCATAAAACTACCCATAGTGAGCATTCAATATTGTTTTCATTTCTAAAGTAACTTTTAAACTCTTTTGTTTTTAAATTTATTTCAACTTTTGTTTTCATGGAAAGAGTTTGGGAAATCAAACTCTTTGTGCAATTGGTGAATGAAAGTAAAATAATGGAATTAGTTGGGTCAGCATTTTAATCATTCAATCCTACAAAGCAATGACACATTGGCTGCTTAGGTCTTGCTGACTGTGTGTGAGCATTGTGAATTAAGCTTTTGAGCTGGCATGTAGCTTTATGATGCCATTCCTCTCTCTTATTAATAGACCAAAGCAAAGGCTAGAAGGCATTGCTCACACACATACAGTGCCTTGATCTCCTGAGTAACAAAAAAAAAGTTCAGCCTTGCATGCTACTACTGTTGATAACAGATATATATACCCCTCCATTATCTATATATCAAATATAGCATTTAACAGATAAAATATTTTTTACATAGGCTAATGCCTTGTTCTCTTCTTCTTCTCTTACTTTTTATTTTTTTTAAAATGTTAATTGGTTCAACTTAATCGGGCTAAAATATAAGAGTTGAACAGTTGTAGTTCAAATTTAATATGAGGAAACTTATGTTGTGGGGTGATGCTATGGTACATTTAGATGTACCATACATTTAGTTATGAACTTATATGATTTTATGTCATAACCAATATCATATTAGTCATAATTACTACCATATTAAATCATAACTTAGTTATATTCAGTTACTTATTTATATCATATTATCTCATAACCAGATCATAACTAAATTACTTAAATAATTGAACTCTCAAATAGGCAACCGGCTACACCGGTTAGAAGGGGAAACAAAATTGAATCAGTGTGTTTGGCCCTCTTGTTGGCTCTTCTCCTCCCTTTTCTCTTCCGCCATAGCTGAAGCTTCCAAGGACCACCAGCCTCGTCGGCGATCCGGGCTTCAGCCATGTCGACATCTTCTTCGCAAGCTCTCACTCTCTGGACGTCTCCACCATGGGTTTGTTCTAGTTGTTCTTCATCAATCGCAACGATCTCTGTTCTTCATCGATCTCGAGGCTAATCAAACTCGAACTCAATCTCTCTCACTATTAGCTCCCATCTTGAGTTTGCAAATCGCAAATCCGAAATCGAGTTTGAATCAAATCAGATCTATCTTGCTCTTTATCTCAGGTACATATTTCAAAAAATTAAAAAAATTCATGTATTGTCTTTCATATATTTTTTTCTTAGATTTCATTTGCTAATAAATGAAAAATATATATATATATATATGGTGGTTGCAAAAAAAAAATTTGTTAGATTTCATTTGAGTTGTAAACTAGTTTATATTCAGATTTTGAAGCTTGCTCCATCATTAAAAACAAGTATGGTGTTTAGGACAATGGTAGAGATTCAAATGTGGTTAGGAGAGGCAATTGTCGGTCTCCTTTGGAAGTCCATCTCTCATTTATATCCTATAGTGTCTCCTTTCTTGTCTATGAAAGTTGGTAATGGGCTTCATATTCGGTTTTGGGAAGATGCGTGGGTGGGGGTTACCTTTTTTGATAGAGTTTTTCCATTTCTTATTTGAATTAGATTGGAAGATGAAGAGTAAGGGGGAGGAAGAAAAAAGAAAACATGGATTGATTCAAGTTGAAACTTTGGCACAATGTTTTTCTGATCCAGTTAGAACTCAGAGCAAACCTAGTTTTCTTCATCTATAACCATGCATATAAATTATTAAAAGAAATTATAGCATGAAGTAATTAGTAGAGATAAATCATGTAGAATATCAATTCTTTTAAAAACTTTACCTACATTGAAGTTCTTTGTGGGAAAATTCCACGTAAATTGTAGATCCCAGTTGTAATTAAGTTCTAAAATATCAAATGCAGGTTTATCATTCATATATGATAATCGATACTATTTTAAATTAATTCTTGTTTTTTCTTTGAATACAGAGACTAAAAATAAAAAATAAAATAAGAATCTCGTTGTTAAAGTAAAGTTTAGAACTTGAAATTTTTATATTGAATGTATGTCTTCTTTAATTTGTATCAGAACTGAGTGCAGAGTTGTTTGTAACGATTAATTTATTTGATAGGAGCAATAATCTGCAGAGAATTAGTTTAGAATTTTAATTGACATGGTTGTAATCAGTTCAGAAAATACTCTTTTAAGTGGGCTACCTTGTTAGAGACTCTGTATTTACTATTTAGGTGCGCGGTAGTTGTGCAAATAATGGGAGCAATATCATGGCTGGTCTTGGCAGCATATTGTTTGCCATGATATGACCAAGTAGCTGATTACTGCAATGCATGTTATTACTAGAGAAAGGGACTTTGCAGTGACTATAGAAAGGCTACCTTTGTCTTGGGGATCACTAATTGGTTATTGTCATGACTTCTTTTGACTGCATTGTAGTGTAGTAGGTACTCCATTGTTTTAGGGATCATACTAGTGTATGTACTCCATTGTCCCAGCTTTGAATTACTACCTACGAGCAGTTCAAATGGCATGGCAGTTGTTGTTTCCTTACCTTTTTAAAAAAGTAAAAAATAAAAAATGATCGACGTTAGTTTTTTTCTCAAAGATGAGCTTTTTAGAATTATATTTGAAATCTAATTTGAAACCTAATTTGAAACATTGATTGGTTATCTAATTAGAAATAGGAAAAGCAAATCTGACAAGATTGTTGCCTGTTAACAATAGCACCGTATTTGCAGCCAATAAAATAAAGTTAATAGCACCATATTTGCTAATAATGGGGCATTTAGTACAACAATATTTTTATGTAGCTTTTTAACTTTGTGATTGTGATATTTGCTTTTTTCTTGAACTGCAGTATCATTCAAAGTGTTGAAGTTTGTAATGTGGATTGTGAATGTATATTTGATCCAATGCCACCAAATTTTTTTGTTTTTGTTTTTGTTTTTTGCTGGAGGCATTCTTGAACTCTTGAGGATAAGATGTGATCATTATGGTTACCACTGCTGGCAAAGGATGCAATATCAGGATTGTCTTTCTTGGAGAAAGATGTTATTTTTGTAGTTTTTTGACAGAAAAAAAGATCCTTAGAATACATGGGGTATGTATATAATAAATATAAAATATCTATGTAGACTATTTTATTTCTAGGCTTATTTGACAATTGGTTAGTTGAGTTATTACAATAAACATGTTTATATAAATGGTGGTGGTCTCAATCATAGTTACCAAGAAACTAAGTTGGGGATGGAAAAGGCTTTTTTAGAACCACATTTCTGAGTTATGATCTCCAAAAGTATGGCCCTTTTGGTGCTGCGTGTTTTGACTTCTTTGACTAGGGTCAAACTTGGAAAAAACTCCTCTTTTGGGGGGTGGGGGGCAGTTTTCTCAAACTTTGTAAAATCAAATTTTAGGATTGATTTATGCAAAATCTAGCAAGTAAGGGTCAAATTCCACGAGCTGTGGATCTCAAAACCAAGCCACAAGAAATAACAAAGTAAGGCTAAAATAAAATCTTAAGTTTCAGTTCTTCAAAGACATCCTTAAAAAGAGTAATTACAACCCTATATATAAGTAGCCAAGAAGTGGACTAGTGGTAGACATACAATGCAACCACTTCATAACAAGCTAGTGACACATGATGTTCATGCAGACATTCAATGGCAAGTGACATGGTTTTGCATGTAGCCACCTATTAACATGTGTCCTACATGCAACCATCGCACTAAGAAATGGGTGACGTGCTGCTTACAAACAACCACCTCAATAACAAGCTGTATACAAGAACATAATGCACCTCCTCATTAGTTTTAAATTTGTGATACTTCTGTTGATTTCTTCTCTCAAGTTATTGTCACTACAAAAAATTAAGGTTTTAGAAACCAAAATTTAGGGACAAAATTATTTTTTAGAGACCAAATAATTTTGTTGGAAAAGTGTCGTCATTATAATTTTAGCAACAAAAATTGGACATTAGTGATGAATTATTATCCTTTTGGGATCAAATTTTTTGTCTCAAAAAATAAATCATTTTGAGACCAAATTATTTTGTCCCTAAAAGTCTATTTATTAGTGACATTTTCAAAATTTTGTCGCTAAATGCCTTATTTTTTACTTTTCGGGACGACCTTTTAGCAACTATCCTCATGAAGATGGAAATTGGTCTTTAAATGTCTTTTACAACAAAATTTTCACTTTTAGAGACCAAAACATTTGGTCTCTAAAACTTTTATATGTTGTAGTGTGCCTACCATCTTTTGATTTTGCCATAGCTGATTCCACTTGTTCAAATGTTTGTTTTGGGTTCTTATGTTTGAATTCTGAATTTTTTTAAGACCTATAGGGAATTGAATATTTGAGGGCTTGCATTTTTTTTTCTTTTGTTCTAAACTTGGCAAGTTGGTAAATGCATAGTACTTTTAGATTAAAAAATGTCTTCTCCAAGCAAGAGCTGCGTCATCACTACCAAGGTACTAAATTTGTATCTTTTAATTTTTAATTTTTGCAAGGTGAGTTTTTATTTTATTTTTATTCTTTCTTATGTTCTTGGGTTTGATGATGGCAAATACCTGTTAGTTTATGTGATGCTGCATAGTTTGATGTTGGATATCCTATGAATGGTGTTGCTTAGTCACATAAAATTGTGTATGTGGAATCATAGAGTATGATTACTGTTGCTTTGTTGCATAAATATTAGTTTGACATGACTTGGCTGTATTGATTGCCATATTCTCATGAGATCCGTGGTTGGTCCTTGGAAAATTTACTTGTTCATGACTTATGCAATATATGATTTGGAAGGATTGCAATTCTTGATCTGGTCTTGATAGATAGCATTACCATTGCTTGATTTTGTTGGTAGTACGAGCTCGTTTGGTAAAGAATACCATTGTGGAATTGTGCACTCCCAAGGGCAGCCCTACGATTTCCATTAGGCGTGTTTTTTTCACTTGGTTTGGTAAGATATTGTTGAGTAGCTTTTGAATTACTGTCTCATTTTCTCCATTGCTTCTACGGGACCTTTCAAGCTTAATGGTGTTCCTCTTAGACATGTAAATCAATCTTATTTGATTGATACTTCGACCAAGGTGGACATCTCTGGCATCAATGTTGAAAATTTTTTTTTTTTTTTTTTTTTGGAACTGGACAATGTTGAAAAGTTTGATGACAAGTATTTTGCAAAGCAAGTCGAGAAGAAGAAAAAGAAGGGAGAAGGCGAGTTCTTTGAGGCAAAGAAAGACATTTGCTTATAATCCTTTACTAAAATTGTGAAAAATGCATTAAATTTTTGTTGTTTTTTTGGACTTATTTAGTTTAAATATTTTTTTGCACTTATTTGGCTTAGATTTGTTTGTTATTACATCAAGCTGCCTTCTTTAGTTAAATTCTTTGGCTTGTACTATATTTTAGAATCTTGGCAAACGGGGCCTCATAATTGTGTTGAATCTTTCAGTGCATATCTTCTGAAATGCTACGCTTTGGACAAAATATTGATTGTAATTTTTCTCATATTTCATAATCAAGGAGAAAAAAAAGTGGCGTTTTTTCAAAAAACGTCATTTAGAACGCCACTAAATGACGTCATGCGTTAGTTTGTGATGGAAATGGAAGCGGATGTAAAAGATTTTGCGGCATTTTAAAAAACACCGTCTAATAATTTTAATGACGGTTTTCAAACGTTATAAAGCTATTGCGGCGGTCATATCAATGACGAAAATTTTAAACATTGTTGTAATATTTTACAGTGTTTTTCAGGCTTTTAGCGACATTTTAAAAAACACCACTAAAACTCAAATTTCTTGTAGTGTTTCTAATGATAACACAAAACAAAGGGAAGGGTTATGCTATAATACACATCGTTATTTTCATGTTATGACATATACATTTCAAATAGTGTATATCATATACACTTTTGATATGTATTTTATGATACATATTAGATATTCTGATAAATAACTAGAAATTGAGGAACATGGCAGTATTTCCTTCCAGTGGCATATGTGATGTAATATGTCCATTGACAAAAGAATCAAATTGGATATTTTTTTGATTCAGTGAATAAAACCTCAATCTAGTTATGCATCTATCGCTGCTTGTGCATGCATGCACTGTACAAATAGGAAAATGCATACTTGATTTTTTTTTTTTTTACACACAAACATCCTTGTTTTCGTTCTTTGGTTCTTGTGACTTGATAATTCTGTCAAGTCCTGTTGAAAATATATTGCAAACCAAATCTAGACTCATGAATGTGGCAGCAATTGTTGAATTAACGGCCAAATTAATGATGTAAATTAAATTCCAATCTAATTTGTTTCTTCTTCAATTGAATTCGGCTCAACTAAAGCTAGCCTATAGCCAATTCCTTTACAGTCCTACCTTGTGTGATCAAACAGTAATAATTTTTTCCTAGAAGATTTGATATAAGGAGCTAGTTAATTGTCACTACTCATATTATGAAATTTGTACCTCAAATGTTACATTGATGTGATGGTCTATAGAATATATTCATCTGCTTTAATAGCATTAGTTTTATAAAGAAAGTTATTTCAATTTTACTCAATGCTAAAAGGCAACTTTTGCCAATTTTTTTAAAGAGTGACTAACTTGTCCCTCTCATAGGATGAATTCAATTTCCTTATGATCTTGTCTAATGTGTTTTTTGGACCACAGATTAATTTTCAATGATGGAAGGGTGAACATGATGAGCCTTCTGATTTATCAACAAAAAAAAATTAAATAAATAAAATTTTATGGGCCTTCTTTGATGGGGAATTAAACCTCCAATTTAAATATGGTTTTTATTTTTAATATTAAATTAGAGATGGTCTCCTTTGTTGCATATTTTTACTAAATTTCAAGTGTCTTAAACCGTGCAGAGCAACTGAGGACCATGGGAAGCTAGCGACAATATACAAGTCGAAGAAGAGGAATGAGATGGTGGAAGAGGGATACTGGATTTTGGGCTCTGGAGACCAATGGAGCGATCTTTTGGGTTCATCAGTTTCCATCCGCTCGTTCAAGCTTCCAAATCCCATGTATTATATTCCCTAATTGGACAGGTTTCTATTAAGCTTTTCTAATCCCTTCTAGTCAAACAAATATTTGTACATTCGTTGACTGAAGTTTGCAATTAATATATAAATTGTGCATAACTATACTTGATTTAAGTTTTTAATTAATACATAAATTGTGCATAATCTCTCTCTCTCTCTCTCTCTCTCTCTCTCTGTCTCTCTCTAGCAGTGGCTCATGCATGTATTCAATTTATCAATTGCTAGAAACTGGTCACTAGTTTCTAAATCAACATTTTGGGAAATTATCGACGAAGTACATCAGCTTGGTCCACGGTTTGTCGCCCTATTAATTATGGAGGATTAGGCATTAAAACCTAATGATGCTTAGCCAGCCCTACATGATGAAGTTGGGATGGCACTTATTGAGACATTCTGAATCTTTATGGGCTTTGATGTTTAAATCCAATTATTTCCCTAATGGCACTATCATTTCGGATAAATCTAAACTTTACCAATCATGCTTCACTTAAACTTTTCTTACTCTTGGCAAATGTGGACAACTAGGAATAAAATGCTTCTTGAAAATCAACCTTTACACCTTCACAAGATATCATATGCTGCTAAGTTTGCACTCTCTATTCTGATGAACACTTTTAAAGTACACACTCTCGGTTAACAAACTCGACACGAATGGTGCTTGTCAAGGTAACCCTGGTCGAGCAAGCATTGGTGGCATCTTCAGAGATAATACTGGTCACTGCATTTAAGCTTTCGAATATCCCATTGGTACAAGTAACAATACAGCTGAAATTTGGACTATTCAAGCTAACACCCAATGGTTAATTATTGAATCTAATTCATGGAAAACACTACACATCTTTGCAAGCGAAAAGCCAATAACTAAAAGATATGCCGTGCTTTTAGTTTTCAAGTCATTAAATCATATTCTTTATTGATGTTTGAACGTATGTCCTGCAATGTGCTTACCAGGAAATTAAAGAGGCGGATACAGATGAACATTATCGACCTAAATCTCCAATAGGAATCATCAATGTGACTCTAAAAGAGAAGGTTTGAAGGAGGTTTTATCAGTTTAAAGCTTCTTTTAATGGCATGGTTTCCCCATATTAGATGCCAACGTGCTGATAATCACCAAGCAAGCAAGAGGTTTATGGAAAGTATAAATTTTTAGTCCAGGTATAAATTTCATTTTCTGCTTGTATGTAAAAGACTTGAATTTATTTTTGTCAAACTTTTTCACCAATGTGTGTTATTATAGGGTCGCAAGATGGGTCAATATGAACCTCATAAGTTGAATTTCGGTTGTACGGATGGGATGGGAGACGATACGTACGAGCGGGTATGTGTTTCATGGTCCAGTACAATTTTTTGTATGGTGTTCATTACATTATGTTTGAACTTATTAATGATATTTTGTTATTATGGTATTTTTAGGTGCCGCAAGGTCAATCCTATTATTTTCCGTGTATGGATGGGACACAAGAGAGCGCATTGCAAATGGTGGACAAAATTGGAAGCTCATCTTTCAGTGAATCAGGAATGGCGAATAGGTTTTGAACAGATTGAGAACAGGTTATATTTGATTCTGAATAGGTTTTGAACAGATTCAGAACAGATTATATTTGGTTTTGAACAGGTTCTGAAGAGGTTAATTTCAGATTTTGAACAGATTCTGAACAGGTTAATTTCAGATTTTGTATTTCAGATTCTGAACATGTTAATCTAGTTTTGAACAGGTTTTGAACAGGTTCTAAAGAGGTTAATTTCAGATTTTGAACAGATTCTGAACAGGTTAATTTCAGATTTTGAATTTCAGATTGTGAACAGGTTAATCTAATTTTCAGATTCAGATTCTGAAGAGGTTAATCTGAATTTCAGATTCAGTCAATTTGTGTAGAATGACAGGTTCAGAAGCAGAATCACAGGTTGATTGTTTGAAGCAGAATGACAGGTTCAGCCGAATAAAGTTCAGAATGATGCAGTCCAGAATAAAGCACTCCAGAATTGAAGCTCAGAATGATGCAGTCCAGAATTTAAGAATGATGCAGTCCAGAATTACATGAAATGGCTATGCACTATTAAAGTAGTATTGAGCAGTCCAAAATGAAGCATTTGGCAATAATATGTAATCTGTTGCTGGATATATGTAATCTTTTGCTGGATAATATGTAATTTTTTGGAGTTGTTATAGATTATGAATGTCTAAGTAGCATGGTAAGAGATTACATATTATTAGTAACATTTGGCTGTAAGTAGCATAGATTATGAATGTCTAAGTAGCATGGTAAGAGATTACATATTATTAGTAACATTTGGCTGTAAGTAGCATAGATTATGAATGTCTAAGTAGCATGGTAAGAGATTACATATTATTAGTAACATTTGGCTGTAAGTAGCATAGATTATGAATGTCTAAGTAGCATGGTAAGAGTTAAATTGAGGTCAATATGATGATTGTTGAACAGAGGTTATAGAAATAAATTTAATGGAATTGAGTTTTGCAGTGTTGTCCATCGAAGCTGAAGCTTAAGAAATAAATTTTATTTTGGGTTTCAAGTACCTATATCCTTCTGTTTTCTGTTTAAATGTTTTAATGATTTCATGAATGAAGATGATGGTGAGTTGAATTTAACAATTGTTAGCAGTTATTTATTAGATCAATTAATAATATGGACATTCTTGGGGAAAAAATGACAGTTTGGGTACTAACATGGTGATTCTCGTGCCTTTTTTCTAATAAATTCTTTTACAGGATATGACAAACATAACACTCATGAACCTCCCCACCTTTCCACTTTACTGCCAAACCTTGTCACCACACCACTTTTCCTTAAAAAAGTAATGTTAGAAAGCAGCCAACAAGCTCTAACATTAACACCTGAAACAAAACCTTAAAAGAAGCCAAGTGAAGGAACTATCAGTTGTGCTATGTTATCTATGCACAGATAAGTAGATTTCTTTAATGCCATGTTTGATTTACTAAAGTAAAAGTTTCTTTAGTCTCCTTATAGGATGACCATTCAATTCAGCTGTTCTCCCACAATCACAAAATCTTGGTATCACTCTTAAGTAGCTATTGTTACTAGAAGAAGAAGCCATTTTGTAATCTGCATACAAAATAGAAGATAAATATATATATATATATATATACATACATTAGTAAACATAGCTACTATGAATTAATAACTTAGAGATGAGCTTTTAGATGAATATCTGGGCTGAGAATGAGATTAGGGTTCAAGGGCCAAAACATTTGCTACAATACAAGATATATATATATATATATATATACATACATTAGTAAACATAGCTACTATGAATTAATAACTTAGAGATGAGCTTTTAGATGAATATCTGGGCTGAGAATGAGATTAGGGTTCAAGGGCCAAAACATTTGCTACAATACAAGATATATATATATATATATATATACATACATTAGTAAACATAGCTACTATGAATTAATAACTTAGAGATGAGCTTTTAGATGAATATCTGGGCTGAGAATGAGATTAGGGTTCAAGGGCCAAAACATTTGCTACAATACAAGATATATATATATATATATATATACATACATTAGTAAACATAGCTACTATGAATTAATAACTTAGAGATGAGCTTTTAGATGAATATCTGGGCTGAGAATGAGATTAGGGTTCAAGGGCCAAAACATTTGCTACAATACAAGATATATATATATATATATATATACATACATTAGTAAACATAGCTACTATGAATTAATAACTTAGAGATGAGCTTTTAGATGAATATCTGGGCTGAGAATGAGATTAGGGTTCAAGGGCCAAAACATTTGCTACAATACAAGATATATATATATATATATATATACATACATTAGTAAACATAGCTACTATGAATTAATAACTTAGAGATGAGCTTTTAGATGAATATCTGGGCTGAGAATGAGATTAGGGTTCAAGGGCCAAAACATTTGCTACAATACAAGATATATATATATATATATATATACATACATTAGTAAACATATTAGATTAAGCCATAGATTTTAACTCAAGACAACATTGAACTTGTGCTTAGCTAAACTTGTTATTTTGACAAGAACAGTAAATAAAAAACAAAAATCAGCATAATCAAGACCTTAACTGCTATCCCATAATGCCCAAATTCAACAAGAAATTCAAAATCAAATTCTAAATCAAGTATAATCAAGTCCAGAATCAAGACCATTATAGAAATTCAAGAAATTCAACATTTCTGGTATTAAACTATGAACAAGTCCAGAACCCATAGAAGTCCATAACCTGCTCTGAATCTGTTCAAAACCTGTTCCATTATAGAAACCTGTTCCGAATGAACAAAAATCTGTTCTGATAAATGGATAGATTCAGAATCTGATTTAGAACAGCTTTTGAACAGATTCAGAATCTGTATAGTGGAACCAATGAACAAAAATCATTATAGAAACCTGTTCTGAATTAAATTCCATTCAACCCGTAGAAGTCCATTCAAGAAATTCAAAATCAAATTCAAAATCAAGTATAATGAAGTCCATAATCAAGGCCATTATAGAAATTCAAGGCAAAACCCACAATGCCCAAACCCTAACAAACAATCATAACCCTAATAATCAATAATTGAGGAATCTGAAAAACATGTTCTACAAATTCAAGCCAAAACCAAAACCCTAACACAAATTTCAAATTTTTTTTTTCTTAGCAATCAAACAGAAACACAAACCCTAGTTTTTGGTTGTGGTACCTTTTTTCCTGCTAGTCAAGGCACAAAACATTTTCCTTATATTTTTGGTAATAACAGCCACATGCATCCACATACATTCACTTCAACTTGCCTCATTCAAAAATTTAAAATTACACATCACAAACAAGAAGAAACGAAATTTAGCATACATTCTAGAAGAAACTATTTAACATTGATTTTTTTTTTAATAGTTCTTAAAGAATATATTGTATAAATTGATAAAATGTTTAACTATTTTTTTTTTTAATTGTATTAAAGACTCCTATATATAAATCCAGAACAATTGACAAATTAATGTTTATAAATTATAAATCCATAATGGTACACCAAAAGTTAGTGGTATGCTCATGATAACTAACTGATACACAGCTACTTCACCTAAAATTCCGATCGAATATGACAAACTTAACCTTCTAGGTTGGAGACAATTCGGAAAAGACATACAAACTACTAGCTTTTCCTTTGAAACTTATAATCAAACATGAAGAGTGAATTGATTACAATATTACCTGACTACTATCCCCATCCACAAGATCACTCGTGGCAATTCTACGCTCATACTCAACCAGAGGCCCTGCTTTGCTTACTTCTACAATCAAATCAAATTAAACCCAAATCAAAATGTGAACATCATGCTAAAGATTATTTAAAAAAAAAAAAAGACAAAAAAACAACCTCCTCGTCACGAAGCCAAACCCTCGACTTCTTCCACTTATCTTGTCATAGTGCTTCACTTTATTAGCCACCTTTGATGGAGTCAATTTTGCACCCCATTTATAGCAGAGATTCTAAAAGAAGAATGAAATCGTAACAAATAAAAAAAATATGAATAAATATATGAAGACTCATTAAGGCAATTCATTTGGGTTCTTTGGTATTTTTCTTAATTGACTTGGGTTATTTTTAGGTATTTGGATTGCTCTAAAACACACCCGCAAGTATAACTTTATATACTGTCCAACTTATAGCAAATAATTAATCAAACTTATAACTTTATAACTTTTTAATTAATCAAACTTCACAGAATTTTTTTGACTTATCCTCCTTGTATAAGTTAAGATCTATTCTTATAAATAAGTGATTTATACCCATCGAATTCTGACTCACACAACTCTAAACCTGGTGTTCATGTGCTTCAAATATATTCAAACTTGGCCATTGTTGGCAAGTGGGAGGAAGTGGTACCCATGTCAATTTAAATCAATCCACAAGACAAATTGATCATGGCTGTTCTCTGATGAGTGAGGAGGCAGATAGCTTTAAATTTCCACTAGCCACAGCGCCTCATTCAGATGGAATTTCTGGTAAGTTTTTGAGGATTATTTGGGCTTTTAGAACATGATGAACATTCATTGTGCATGATTCATATTGGATAAAATGTTTCTTTGACACTGTTTTGCCTTGCAGGAACATTGTTTGTTGGAATGTCAAGCCTAAGAATGTGGTTTCAAGTCTAAGGACCCCCACTTTGTGCAAGTAATGCCAGAAGTTAAAAGTCTGTACCTTGTACCCAATTCATCATTCCTAGCCACCAACACTGACTAATGGATTTTTAATGTCTTTTAATTTTCTTGTGCAGAATTTAGTTAAGGTTGACATGTTAATCTGAAAGCAAAAATCTGAATCATACATGGACGGAAAATTATGTTTGTCGATTCAAATCTTTAATACTGTGTTATGGGTAGAAATCTTAATGTCTCTTTGGTATGTATTGATTGCTCTCCTCTGAAAACTTGACCCTCGGCAATGTATGGACAACCTCAATGGGAAAGTTAACTGGAGTGATAGAAATTTGTTTTCATGGAGAATGTAAGTAGAAGATAATTCATATATCATATAAGACTTTCCTCACCACCAGTACAAGTGAAGGAAAAAAGATGTGATGCTTTATTACCACAGCTTCTTTGGTTGCTTTCTCAAATGAGAAAATTGTCCCTTCTTTATTAGAAGGCTGTATATGCTACCAAGAAGGCTGTGAGAATAGTATTTTCCAGAAATAATTGTTTACTATCAGCAAAATCTGTGTTGAATACCAATAAGATTGAGCCACAAATGCAAAACAGCATTGACTTTTTCTTTATCTTTGGTAATAAACAATTATTACAAGGTCTCCTACTTATAGTTACAGCCTATAGGTATTTAGATAGCTTCAATTTCACTTAGTCACCAATAACAAAGATCAAATCTTGGTGAAGTAAGAACAATACAGAAAACCACTATTAATTTCAGCTACTGTTTTCTTTTCCTAAATGATAACAATTAGTTTCATTTGGAACTCATGCAAACCCAAGTTCCCTAACACCAGCAAAGAGGTATCCTAATCCCTCTAGAAATCCTTGATCATGTGAAGATTAACAATACACTTGAAAGTCCAACATCAACTATAAAAGGTGTTCTGAAGGATTCCAAGGAAAAGGACTTGAGTTTTAATAAAGAGGAGCTAAGAAAAGCCGAAGAAAGGTTGAAACTTGAATTTATCAAATTCTATCAGAAGCTTCGTCTCCTAAAGAATTACAGGTAATAAACCGAACATGGTCAATGTGAATTCGGTTGTGGAAAGATGTTCATGGTTTTTTATTTTATTATTTTTTATTTTCTCATTTTCACATTTTTCCCTTCTGACTTGTTAATTATTATATACTTCTTGTTTTGCAAATGAATGAACCAGCTTTATGAACCTCTCATCATTTTCCAAGATCATGAAAAAAATTCGAGAAGGTCAGAATTTGAATTAAATGACCCAAATAGTTCTTTCTACTGTCAACTCATAGATCACTTGTCATGCTATTAGTAAGCATGAATAAAGATGACTGAAGTAAAAAAGGCAAAGGAGTGATATTAGTTAAAAGGTAAATGAATCCTACTAAAACGAAGAAGTAGAATGTCAAACTGAAAGAAAAGATAAGTGTATACAGGTGACACTCATTTACTGAATTTACTTTTATAAACTATGACTCCTAGAAAAAATGGAAAAATGAATAAATAAAGTAATGCTTGCAATGTGAACTGACACCGTAATTCAGCGAAAGTACCTGGGAGTTCTAAACAAGAACATCAATGGACACAAGATAAGGAGCTACATTAAGGGTTTTGTTAACAAAGTGAACACGATCTTGAATTTTTTTCTCTGCCACAAAGTTACGCAAAAAATGAAGTGGTATTTAGGGGTTCATTCAACATAGGAGAAAATAGCTTTATGGTTGAAGATACTAGGAATAACTAGTTTGCAAAAACCATCACTTTTTACTAGACTAAAACGAACGGGGATTCTATGACCACAAGCATTGACGAAGGAATATTTCTACTGACTTGTGCATTAGAGACCAAAGAAAGGTTTGCCTAATGAATAGTGCATATAAAGAGAAACATTACTGTGGATTACTAAAATAGTTATGTGAATTGTTGTCAATTGAAAAAAGAAGGGCGTCAATAATTTCAAATAATTCAAAACCTACAAATTAACAAAACTCATCACAGAATTACCTACAATGTTGCTTAAATTTTCTTACATGTGGGAGATGCAAGATAATGCATTAAAATACAGGACATCTAACAAAAGAAAGGGAATTTCTATTACTTAGCAAATGAGCAATTCTGGCATGAATTTAGACCATGTCTAGCAGGGACATCATTATCATTCATCATTCATTACAAGAACCAAGGATGTGAAATGCAAAACAAGGGCATCATTGTCATTTATTAGTCATTATCCTTACAATAACTTTGTGATTGGAGAAAGGAGGGGGAAGATTAATCAGATTTTATAATTATCCAATCCTGCTGCTCCTTAAAAAAAAAAAAAAGCGAACAAAACAATAAAGAAAAAACTAGCCATTGTGGCATTTTATCAAACACCTAGCAGACCCATAATCAGAAGCATGAGACTTTACTCTGTGTGTGTGTAGAATCACCAACAATTCATTCACTTCAATGATTATATTGGGTAGAATATGAATATCATAATCAAAATACATAACATGTTAATCATTCTGTTTTCTATATTTTTTTTCCCAAATTAAAATCATTCAAGTTGTTCATGGAACCCTTTAAAGTAGAGAAATTTTGGAGATGTTAGAACTAGCGAATGGAATGACTTTAATCTCATCTTAACAATGAATTCCATTTACAGAAACACGTCCGAAAACAGAGTGAGGGTAGAAAATGAGAAACCCAGAGACTAGAAGAGAAAGAGAGGGGTAGAGAAAGAGAAACAGAGACAACAAACTGACCTGGAACTCACGGTGGTGCTGTAGCTTGATGTCGGTGCAGGATGAACTCACGGTGTGGAGGATGAACCGTCCTCACGGTGGAGGATGAGCTCAAATCTTAACAGTGATAAAGCAATCCTTCCAAAATTGTTCATCTAAAATGATATCAATGGCACCATTTCCTTTTTTCTCTTTGGCAAATCTCTTATAAACTTAAAACCTTATTGTTTACCCTAATTCAAATCCAATTAGATTTTTGGTTGTAAAGTTAGGTTTATGCAAAACCCCTCAAGACCAGTTTTCTGTTGTGGACTCTTCTCCATCAAATCAAACCCCAAAACCCTTCTCTTCTCTCTTTGCCCTCAACTGCCAAACCCTTTAGACTTCGGTTCTCAGTACACCCACCTCATCAGCCGAAGTTATGAGATATGTGATAGTGGTTATGATCAGAGTGGTGTGATTATGAGCTAAAGGATATTGGTTATGAGATGTAGTTATGAGATATGTGATTAATGTTTTGAGATATGTGATATTGGTTATGATCAAAGTGATGTGGTTATGAGCAAAAGGGTGTTGATTATGAGATATGTAATGTTGTTTATGATCAAAGTGGTGTGACTATGAGCCAAAGGGTGTTATGAGATATGTGATTAGTGGTTATGAGTAAAGTGGTGTGGTTATGAGCCAAAGAATGTTGATTATGAGTATGTGATTAGTGGTTATGAGTAAAGTGGTGTGGTTATGAGCCAAAGAATGTTGATTATGAGTATGTGATTAGTGGTTATGAGTAAAGTGGTGTGGTTATGAGCCAAAGAATGTTGATTATGAGTATGTGATTAGTGGTTATGAGTAAAGTGGTGTCAAAGGGTGTTTGGTTATGAGATATGTGATTGTAGTTATGAAATATATGATATTGGTTATCAACAAAATGGTGCTGGTTATGAGATATGTGATGTTAATTATGATCAAAGTGGTGTGACTATGAGCCAAAGGGTGTTATGAGATATGTGATTAGTGGTTATGATATATGTGATGTTAGTTATGAGCCGCAGAGTGTTGGTTATGAGATATGTGGGTAATTGTTATGAGATATAAGATTGTTGTTTATGAGATATGTGATTTTGGTTATGAGCAAAGTGGTGTAGTTATGAATCAAAAGAGTGTTTGGTTATGAGATATGTGATTATTAGTTATAAGATATGTGATATTGGTTATGATCAAAGTGATGTGGTTATAAGCAAAATGGTGTTAATTATGAGATATATAATGTTAGTTATGAGTCAAAGGGGGATTGGTTATAAGATGTGGTTATGAGTTATATGGGTAGTAGTTATGAGATATGTGATATTGGTTATGACCAAAGTGGTGTGATTATGAGCTAAAGGATATTGGTTATGAGATGTAGTTATGAGACATGTGATTGTAGTTATGAAATATATGATATTGGTTATCAACAAAATGGTGCTGGTTATGAGATGTGGTTATGAGATATGTGATGAGAGCTCATAACTAAGTTATGATTAATTTGATTCTAGTTATGAACAAATATGATTTTGGCTCATAACTATAAAAAGTGACCTGCTTACCAGGTCACTTTTAATGATGTGGCTCAATCTGAACCATTGATTTTCTATGTACCATACATTTTTTAAACAAAATGTACTATAGACTTTCCCTCAATAATAAGGTTAGTCTTCAAAGTAGCTTGGGTTAATTTTATTTCATTTATTTATAAGTAGTTAGTTGAAACTATGAAAAAGTTGGGAGGATTAAAACTATTTTTATTGATATTTGATATTTTATTAGACTGATTTGAACTATTTCTTAAACATGGCTGATTTTGAAAATATGTTAGAGAATGAGGTGGAAACTCTTGAAGGCATCACCCCAATTATGTGAATGAGGTGGGAAGCCTACATTCATGATAAATTCATTAGGAAACAAAAAATAAAAATTTATTAGTTATTTATTTCCATTTCTTTATATCTTTTGTTATTCATGTGAAGTTTTAAATTGGAGTAATATTATCATTTTAAATTGATTTATTATAATTGAATTTCGTAACACTTGTGGTACCAAAAAAAATTTGTTTCCAGTACATTCAATCCCACTACATACACCCAATGACGTGGCGACCCCCAGTGACGTGGTGATGAGGTGGCAGTTGATGTGTAAACATAGCTGGAAAAAAAAAAAAAAAAAAAGAAGGAAAAAAGCAGGAATTTCTGGCTTCCCTCGTCTTCCCTCATATGTCCTAACTCTCGCCGCCATCCTCATCTATTCTCGTCTGTCTTCCCTCACCTATTCTCACCTCTCGCCGCCATCCTCCTCCTCCACCATAGCTCACCGGGAATTTCTGCAAAAACCAGTGGCTAGTCTTTCTCCAGAAGGATTGAAATTCTCCGTATGGGTTGTGGAAGTGGGTCTCAGATGTTAACTCATTTCTTCAGAAGAATGTGAAATTTCTTCCTCCTCCACCATATCAGATTACTAGCTCTCATCTATCCTCAGAATTCCTGTAATTTTGGTCTGTCTGGTTTTGCTCTGCTTTGTCTCTGTCCATCAATCTGGTTTATGACGTAAAAAATCAATTTCATATGCTAATCTTTCAGTTATATGCTAATTCTGAAATATGAAATATAATCTGTAAACTATAATCAATCTGCCATTTTGGACAAGAGTTATGTTTTTTAGGTAAATCTGTTAACTGTTGACAAATCTGTTAACTGATCTGACTAACTTGGCTACACTAGATTGTGTCTGGTTTTGCTCTGCTCTGTCTCTGTCCATCAATCTGGTTTATGAGGTAAAAAATCAATTTCATATGCTAATCTTTCAGTTATATGCTAATTCTGAAATATGAAATATAATCTGTAAACTATAATCAATCTGCTATTTTGGACAAGAGTTATGTTTTTTAGGTAAATCTGTTAACTGTGGACAAATCTGTTAACTGATCTGACTAACTTGGCTACACTAGATTGACATAGTGAAACATCACCATTAGTGAGTTGGCTCTAGGTGGTAATCGTCACTGAGTTCCAACTCCAGCACTCTGTTTGGCTACAGTCCGTGGGCCTCCAGCCAAGAAAGGCATGCTTGGTAGCAAAAAGATAATCTGGGCATTATGCTGAACTAGAATATGCGTGAAATTGTATCCCTCAACATTTTATTTGCAACCACAACACCATTTTAACCAAATACAATTCAGTTAATTTTTATGAGTAATTGTGCTCAACTGTGGTAGCAAACTTCATAATCTGTAATCTGTAAGCTTGGTAGCAAACTTCATAAGCTTGGTAGCAAACTTCATAAGCTTGGTAGCAAACTTCATATAATTTCCATAATCTGTAAACTATATAGTTCCATAATCTGTAAACAGTTTATATAAAATCTGAAATATGAAGTTTAGTTCCATAATCTGTAATGATATTTGTTTAATTGTTATTTCAGTATGCAAAGTGGAGAAATGGAGGTTGATTCAAATGTTGAAGGTGAGAATCCTTTTAATAAATGAGGGCGAACACGTTGAAGAACCTAAAAAGGGTATGTGTTTTAGCTCAAGGGAAGAGGTGTACACATTTTATGGCAAATATGCTAAGCATGTCGGATTTGCTATAGCTCATAGAGCACAACATTTTGGAGATGATGGGCAATTGCTAAACTTTGCAATTGAATGTTCTCGAGCGGGGCAGAGAAGAAAGACATCAGAACTCAACCCTCTGAAGCCATGTTTGTCCACAAAAATTGGTTGCACAGCAAGGGTCCGAGGTAGTGTACAAAAGCATGGGAGATATAAACTAACTACAGTTAACCTTGAGCATAATCATGATTTGATTCCCACTGACTCACGTCATTTTGCAATGAATAAGAAAATTCTTACTCCTGTGAAGAGAAGATTAGAAATTAATGATGAAGCAGGGATTGGGGTGTCTAAGAACTTTCATTCAATGGTTGTCGAAGCAGGGGGATACGAGTCATTGACATTTGACGAGTGAGACGCAAAAAATTACATTGAGAGAGCTAGAAGGTTGAGGCTTGGGGAAGGTGATGCCGAATCACTTCAAAGTTATTTTATGAGGATGCAAGCACATAGTGAGAGATTCTTTTATGTGATTGATATTGATGACGAGTTTTGCATTAGAAACTTGTTTTGGGCTGATGCAAGGAGTCGGGCGACTTATGAAGCATTTGGAGATGTCGTTTCATTTGACACAACTTATTTGACGAACAAATATGACATGCCATTTGCTCCATTTGTCGTAGTTAATCACCATGGTCAGTCCATTTTGCTTGGTTGTGGTCATTTGACACAACTTATTTGACAAACAAATATGACATGCCATTTGCTCCATTTGTCGGAGTTAATCACCATGGTCAGTCCATTTTGCTTGGTTGTGGGTTGTTGTCTAGTGAAGACACTAACACATTTGCTTGGCTATTCAAGTCATGGTTAAGTTGCATGTCAAATCATCCGCCAAAAGCTATCATAACTGATCAGTGTAGAGCTATACAAAATGCTATAGAAATTGTGTTTCCACAAGCTCGACATCGATGGTGCTTATGGCATATCATGAAGAAAATTCCGGAGAAGTTGAAAGGATATGCTCAATATGAAGCCATAAAGTTGGCTATGCAAAATGCAGTTTATGACTGTTTGACAAGAGCTGAATTTGAGAGTAAATGGGAAGAGATGCTTGCAACATTCAATCTTTATGATAATGAGTGGTTGGGGGTACTATATGATGAGCGGAATCGATGGGTACCTGTTTATGTTAAAGACATTTTTTGGGCTGGCATGTCAACTACACAACGAAGTGAAAGTATGAATGCGTTTTTTGATGGATATGTAAATCCAAAAACTACATTGAAGCAATTCGTTGAACAATATGACAATGCCTTGAGAAATAAGGTAGAGAAAGAGAAGCAAGCAGACTTCAAGTCTCGACACAAATTGTTTGATTGCCTAACTATATACGGGTTTGAAAAACAATTTCAGCAAGCCTACACCAATGCGAAATTCAATGAAGTTCAAGGACAGATGGAGAGATTAGTTTACTGTCAGGCGGTGATTGTGAAAGAGGAGGGATCAATTTGTACATATAATGTCCAAGAAGCGATGGTAGTTTCTGAGAAGATGAAGCATGTGGACTTTGTTGTCTATTTTAATTCAACTGAATGTGAAGTTCAATGCATATGTCGGTTGTTTGAGTTTAGAGGCATTATGTGCGCTCACTGGTTTAGGCTCAAGTCTTTGTGCTGTGTTGTGGTTCAGTGGTTCACTGGTGTGTGTTAAGGTTGGTTTTGGTGCCTACCAGCAATATTGGAGTATTTCAGTGGTGTGGGTTATGGTCTACCATTCAAGCAAGATAGTTATGATAGAGAATACGCAAGCATCAAAACCACATATACCGGCTTTGGGAATGATTTCAATGCAAGTACCTATGAGAGGATGAACAAAACATTTATTGCCATTGTACAACTTGCTGGTAACTCTGAAGGCAAAACTAGAATTGTAGAGCTTGGGTTGGATGAAATCAAGGAGAGAGTCATGAAAGAAGAATCCGGTTATAGGAGTAATTTACCATGTTCAACAAGAAGTCCGATTCACACCGGTTCTATACAAGGAGGTACTAGTAGGAAAGTGATTAGTCCTTTGGTTGCTAGGCGAAGAGGTCGTCCAGTTACGAAACGGAAGGTTGCCAAAGTAGATCAAATTGTTAATCGGTTCAAGGCAACAGCAAAAAAACAAACAAAAGCAAAGGTAAATTGTGTATTCAAATGTTTTTGTTGACAAACTATATTGAAGTATGTAAAAGCAATTCATACATTTCAATATGTAATTATTCTTCAAAACATGCAGGCTGCTAAGTTGCTCCGATTTGAAGCTCAAGCTCAAGCTCAAGCTCAAGCTCAAACACCGTATTATCCTTATATGGTTGGCACAGAAAATAGTATGTATGTACCAGTACGTGTTCCAAAGAGGCCTTCATGTACTTTTACAAAGTGTATTCGAAAGAGTACTTCATGTACTTTTGCATTTTTGTATTGTTCTAACATGTACTTTTTGCAATGAATTGTCATAGGTGGCCCATGGTATTGGAGGCACATCTCTTACTCCATCAGACTTCATAAGTGGCACACAGGGAAGTTTAATGAGTGCTCCAACTCAGATTTATGGTTCTGCATCGGGAAACTTGGATATTACAGACTTGTTTGACTAGTTTCTATGTATTCCAACTGTTTGTTTTTGAGATTGGAAATTATGTAGTCTATTATCATGAGTTTCAAACTTTGATGTTGAGAACATTGGATATTATGTAGTCTACTATTATGAGTTTCAAACTTTGTTATTTAATATACAATGTTTATTTAGCATGTTCAATTTACCATGTTCAATAGTTTACTTGTATTCAACAATAGTTACCTTGTATTCAACAGTTTCCTGTATTTAACAATGTCCATTCAATGAGTATTGAAGAAAGTGTACAAATTTGAACAAGCCATTTTCCATTCCACTAACAACAAAAGAGGTACAATAAGTAGGTTTCAATACACAACAAAACATGACTTCCTCCAAAACATCACAAAAGTATTAAGTCCACTTCAACAAGTTCAAGGAGACATCTACTTCTACTTATTACATATTCATAAGTTTAAAGGCACCAATTACAAACAACATGGACAACATATCTATCAACTTTTGCATCTTTGCGATCTGAATTCGAAGTTATTCCGTCAGCTGTATTTGTTGTTCGGTCATGGCTTGAAGTCGTTCGGTCATAACTTGTTCGCCAACAGTTGGGACTTCGTCTGTTTGAATTTGATGACCTCCATATTCTGAATTCGTAGGTAAACACCATCTGATAAAACCGCAAACATTACAATAGTAGAATAACTTGTTCTTGTTTTGCTCAGTTTGTGATATTTTGATGGTGGCCTTTTTGTTACATGTACGACAAATTCTGTTCACGTATGTCAACCAACCTGAGCTACTGCCACTGACACTTGAAGTTGACATCTGCAAAGAGGGACAAATAGCAATTAAAAATAGAAGATGAATGCTGAAGATGAACGATCTTATATATTCAAACGATCTTATATATTCAATTAAAAATAGAAGATGAATAGCAATTAAAACATAAATTTGAAATATATATATTCAAATGATCTTATAATTTAGCAATTAAAAATAATACATAAAGAGAGGAAATTTCTGTATACAGAAGATGAATGCTGAAGGTGCAGCTTTACAAGGCTATGGATGACCAGGTTCTGTTTTTTATTTACATTCTTATATATGACAGTGGCTTCGTGTGGACAAAGAACTAAAGAAGCTTGTGGTTTAGACCACTGCAAATCAGGTAACACTCTGCAGAGATTGCCATCAAGTTGTTCCATAATGATCAATCCTAGGTTTGGTCTCTTAGATGGATTCCCACTCTTCATTTCTAGAGGTCACTGATGCTGATAAATGTGTGTTAAGTACAAGTTTGCTTTTAGACTAATGCTACTTGTCTTATTCCTCCCTTGTTTTGAAATTTGCCCCAAATTAATGCTGATACAGGAGGTATAATTAATACTCTTCTTCTCTTAATTTATCTTCAACTTCATCTAAATTTGCCCCAAATTACTCTGATTTCTCTGATATGTATGTGACTATATGTATCATGTATGAATTTATGTATATATAAAAGACATGTAATTTGTGGGTTTGGGTTGCAGATTTTTGGGTTTTAGCTTGAATTCAATGCCTAATACTCTTGTTTGGATTTTTGGGATTTTTGGGTTTTAAATTTTTGGGTTGCCCATTTTTGGGTTTTAGTACTCTGATTTCTCTCATATGTATGTATATGTATCATCTATGAATTTATGTATATATATATAAGACCTGCAATTTATGGGTTTGGGTTGCAGATTCTTGGGTTTGATCAGATATAGATCCCCAAGCTTGAATTCAATGTCAAACTTCAAATTCCTCTAAACTAGTCCAAAAAGTAATCTGATTGCATCCTTCATATGCCACATTTTCAGCCATCTCCTTGGGGCAGTGTTATTTCTAGCACCAATTAGTGATGTCAACATCCTTCATATGCCACATGTCATTATATTAAATGAAAGATTTTAGCATGATTGAATTGCTCTAAAAAATAAATAAATAACTAAAAAATAAAAGAAGAAGAAGACGACGAAGAAAGACGTGATCTTTCTAGTGTTTGTTACATTGGTGACACTACTGGCTCCAACATCCTCCAACAGATTGTCATGTTATCCATTGTTCTATATAGGATCATGCCAAATTGGGCTGCAAACAAACCATGAACAACTAGAACTCAACTTGTCTGCTAAATGAACAAGCTCGAACCAAATTTTTAGGTTCATTAGGTGATCAAGTTGAGCTCAAGTAGAACAAAGCCCAGCTCAAATAGGCCAGTGAACACAAGAATATATAAATTTATTTTGATTAAATTTTACATTTACATACTTTTATTAATTTATTTTATTTTATTTTATTTTTTGTTTATGTTTGGTATTTTGTATAAATTTACATATTTGATTGATAAAACTTATAATACTATGAGCAACATTCTTTTATATTTTCCTCATAATCTTACCTTCTTCTTCTTTTTTTCTTTTAATGTTAATGTTAATTAGGTTTAATTTTTTCTATTCCATGCACAAGCTAGACCAAATAATACCTTCCACAACCAAGAATCTGCTATGTATGTATGTTTGTATATGTGCTATGTACGTTTATATGTATAAATACACTTATATAATTTGTGGCTTTGGATTGTTGATGTTTGGGTTTGAGCATACAGAGAGCCCTAAGCTTGAATTCAATGTCATGTAACTTCAAATTTTTCTGCATTAGTCCAGAGCAATCTGTATGTATGTATATATGTATAAATAGGCTTATATAATTTGTTACAGGACCAAAAAGTAATAGGCTGAAAATGCATACATAGCATTCTTCTGCATTAAACCATCTTCTGGTGCATAGAAATTTAACCAATTGAACCAATTATGCATAGAAATTTCTGCATAATCAAGATGAATCCTGAAATTGATTTAATGAAGAAATTATGCACTGGAGAAATTGAACCAATTGATTAAACATTTCGTTGGAGAATTTCATCGAACACGTTTAAGGCAATGTAAGACTCCAACTAAAAAGCCCACAATTCGTAAATGAAAATGCCACAATTCCCAAATCAAAAGGAAATTTCATACATAATAGATAGAAAATTCACAGATAATAAATGAAATTTCGGGAATTTCCCAAATGCCACAAATCATCGAACAGGAAATAGATACATAGATAGATATATATATACGCAGATATACATACAGTTGAAGTGAAGGGAAGGAGAGACAGAGAGATTCCACATTCCACATTTCATCGAACAAGAAATAGATATATATATATATATATACGCAGATATACATACAGTTGAAGTGAAGGGAATGAGAGACAGAGAGATTCGCGAGTGAAGGGAGGGAACGAGCTGTCGGTGTCGGAGTGAAGGGAAGAAGTGGTCGCCGGCGTCGGAGTGGGAGGTCGGAGTGGGGGGTCAATAGCTGTTACCGTTGTTTGAGGGGGGAGGGGGGAAATTTCAAATGAAATGCGAACCTGTTTGTTTGGTCTTACAGAGTCACAGTCACGTGATTATCACGTGAGTGCCACGTCACTGGGGGTGATTGGGGATCGGGGTAACTGGGGGTGGGAAGCATTTTTGCAGTACATTTAGGCATGGGTTATTCCTAGACATTACCAAGACAGACAACAATGTCACATGACTAACACGTCACCAATCTTGCGACGATAGCATTATGGTCCGAATGAAAAAAATAAAAAAAAACTGAGAAAATATTCAAAATTTAAAATTAATGTTAAGATTTACTTGAGATTTGATTCAGGTATTGCAAGTATAAAAATGCACACTATAGATGAAAAATTTATGATAACTTTTTCAGTGTTTATCTTGTACTCTCTAAAATCAAACATAATGATATTTTTCATTTAATTTTTGTAAACACAAATATAATAAAATCATATGGTTATAATTACCAAAAAAATTAATTTATTTATGTTTTTTATGAATAATTTGTGCACATTGAGTTTAAAAAAGCAATCTTAGGGATTCCTAAAAAATATCAAAAAATTTACATGATACTTACATTGTGTGGAATTTTTTGATATTTTTTTGAGATTTTTAACATTTCTAGACTTAAAAAATGAAGGTAAATTAAATTGATCTCCCTTGAGATTTGGAGATTATAAAAATAGCAACACAGTTTTGACATAATTATATTAACGTTCATGCAATTAGTGTGAAGACACAAAGATAAACAAAATATATATATATATATATATATAAATTTTTGTGTAAAAGATATGACAGTATCAACGAATTATTGATAAAAATATAATTAAATAGTATATAAATTAAAACCTTAAAAAAACCTTAATAGAAACTGTGCTTAATTTGGAGTTTTTAAAAACATTTTAATTATTTTTTATTATTACTTTTAGATCCACTTAATCTAGATCTACTTAAAAAAGACAAAAATTCACAAAAATATTTTTAAAATTTATTGAATACAACAAAATATGAAAATGTATTGAATTTTTATATTTTGTATATTATTTTATATTCAATGAACTTTTTCTGATTTTTTTTTTGAAAAATAAAAAATTAGTTTGATAAAAATAAATATCAAACATATATTTTTTATTTTTAAAAAATTAATCATGCCCTCTAAAAAGATAAAATTATATAAAAATAATAAGTATCTTTTAAATATTTTTTTCACCAAATTAATTTTTAATTTTTTAGAAAAAATTTCTAAAACAAATTTATGAAAACCAAACCAAATATGACGGTACTTTTTAAGTGTTTCTAAAACACCCCCCAAAAAAAAAAAATCAATAAAAACAACAAAATAGAGATTAAAAACTTATAAAATTATTTTAAAAAATTCCAAACTAAGCAGAATATTATATTTTCTCCAAACCTTAATATAGTGTTTGGTTTACTATAATCAAAGTGAATTGGAATGAGAATGATATTCCATTTGTAATATCATTCAACTTTATTTTATTTTAATTTATTTCAATAAATTAAACATTAGAATGAGAATGATATTCCATTTGTAATGTCATTTATTTTATTTTAATTTATTTCAATAAATTAAACAAAGCAGAAGAAGGTTAATATAA